ACTGCAATGTTAGTAGTTTTTGGGGGGAAAATTTCCCCCCAAAATGTAGCTGTCTATTACACTGTATATGTCAATTTAGGGGAAATTTCCCCTGTAGATTATTGCTTTTTTTCAAACTGTAATGTTAGTAGTGAACATGACATGTATCAATGATATTCTTTTGAGGAAATTTACCCCCTAAAATGTAGCTGTCTATTCAACTGCATCAATGTCATTTTTGAGAGGAAATTTATCTGTAAATTTTTGCCTTCTTCAATTTGTAATGTGGTAGTGAAAACTGTTTCAGTGATAGTCTTTGGGAGGAAATTTATCCGTAAAATCTAGCTATGTAAACGATGGTTGCTTTGACTTTGAAATACTGAATGTACAATGCACCAATGTGAATCTAGAGAGGAAATTTACTCTGTAGATTTTTGCTATTTCTAAATTGTAATTGTTGTAGTGAATACTGTATCAGTGATATTCTTTGGGAGAAAATTTACTCCTTAAATCATTGTTATATTAAAGATAGTCGCTTTTGAATTGACTACTGTATGTTAACTGTATCAGTGTCATTTTTTAGAGGAAATTTACCCTGTAGATTTTTGCCTTTTTAAAATTGTAATGTGGTAGTGAAAACTGTTTCAGTGATAGTTTTGGGAGGAAATTTACTCCGTAAAATCTAGCTATGTGAACGATGGTTTGCGTTCATTAAACTTTTGATATTCGCACCAATAAATACTAGTATATTGTAAACTATGTTATTTGTTGAGTTTCGTCAATACCTAAGGGCAAAATGCTTAAAACAGAAAAAAAGATTTTCTGTTTTGATTTTGGAATGCGTTAAATATTGACCAAGATAAATTGATGGTTTCGGTATATGTTCTAAACAGTGCCTTTAATTTGTCCTTACTTGAAAATATCCACATATTGACGGACAAACTTTAGCAGGACTGTGCAACAACATATTTTAGAAATGGTGTAAATCAGATGTGGGATTCCTAAAAATTCTAAGAAAATATTGGAACGTTTGAAATCACATATGTTTACCTTAATTAACAACATATAAATAAAGGACTTTTTCTAACTTCAGGTACAACCGATGCCCTCGATAGTTTTTTGTTCAGACTTTTTCACATCATGACAGTTGCTTTTTCATGACAAATGACATAAAAATCTACCAACCTTGTTTTTTGTAACTTTGTAAATCTCCTTTCATTTAAACTTTCTGATAGTCACACAAGTACTCTGATGTTGACATTAAAAAATGAGTTTCTGATTGACAATTAATACGTTTTCTTTTTTGGAGAGCAGGTCTTCCAACTAATTAATGAAATTCCCATGGCTACCAAGTGATTGCACCCCGCTATAAGACGATTTTAATCTTCATCCCAAGAAGAATTTGTTTGGACTCTTAAGCATTAAAGAAGGAAAAAAAATTGTTGTTGCCTTTAACACGACATTTCGGTGTTTTGACGACTTATTGTGGAATAACAATGTTCAGGCCATCTTTTAAAAAAATATATATATTGTGTGGCCCTCTCCGACCGACTGAAAATACATGTAATAGCCCGACTGAAAACTTGCTTTTTTTATACTTAATCGCTCGATATTTTCTTTTCTTTTGATGATTCTTATTCCTTGAACAAATATGAGGACATTTTCCGTAAAATAGATTCTCTTTCCTACCTACAGACTAAGCAATTTTACACCAAGTCGTGAGAGATCAATCAAATATTATTTTTACATAAAGATGACCTTATTTCCATTTTTATGTCGACATGATATATCCCGGTGAATTTAAAATTAAATATGCCACAGGGTCTGAAACTTTTGTTTTAATAATTTTGAAATTTTTACTTGAAAAAATATAGATGCTTGGCTAGCAATCATACTCTATAATAAGGGTGATGACTTTAACTCATCAATTGTTTACCACCCTTCTTTAAGTAGCAATATACTTTGGAATCCTCTATACAGCGTTTAATTTTCTTAGTTAAATCGATACACAAGAGCAGCCACTACCTATGAACAATCTTTAAAACCAGTTTAGTTATTGGCAAGCATGTTGATGAAGCGGTAATATCAGTAGTCTTTATTTTGGAAGTTTCATGGTTAATTCAATGACCTTTTAGGCAAAAAAAGTTATCATCGAGTCAAATACTAATGTTGCTCATGATAACTGTGAGGCCGTTATCAACATACTGATTTTGCGACGGATTTTTCTGTCATTGATATTCAAGTGGAGATGACTCCTTCATGACGCCTGATCCCTCTTCTAATATTTTTGAAGTCAATGATGGCTCAGCTTAAATCTTGTTTGAAAAAAATGTTGAACATAGATCATGTTTGTTATCTTCATAAAATTCATATGTATGGTAAATAAGGAAATTGAATACTGCATTATTTTTCGTTTTGAAAAAAGACATCAATCATCCAAGCCTGAAAACCTGAAACTTTTTCAGAGTGTCAAAGTTTTTGGTTAAGTTATTAAATGTGTCAAAGATGTCAAAGTTTAGCTTGTGCCTTGATTTTAGAAATGCTCGTAGAATAATGTCCCTATCGACATTGGATTTGGAGGTAAAGCAACTCAATTGCAGTAATGCGACGCCCACAAATTAAGATATAACGAAATGTAATAAAATACTTAAGAAAAAAAATGTTTAGCATCAACGGAATCAATTACAAAAGATTTCTTTAACGCATGTTTTAATTTTGTTAATTTATGAATACGAATAGTAACAGATCTAAATAAAACTCTAACATATAATAATTCAAATATTAAAAAAAACGCAGGCCTTTGGAACTTCAGAGCTTTCTGATTTAATAATAATGATAAACAAATAACATAATTGGATCGTGGTTTATACATTGTAAAATTATTGGAAAATGTGATATATAAAAATCCTTTTACTTAGTATTTCACAATTACTTTGTAACAATGAATTCTCTAATTGATGTATATTTTTTCGTAGTTGTAATCATACATTTTTTAAAATTGATATTTTTCTCCTCCGCGAAAGCGAGGGGACATTATATCTCATTCATCTGTACTTCCATCCGTCTGTCTAGCTGTCTGTCACAAAAAATTCAACTTGTCCATAACTTTTGATTGAGAGGAGCTATGGCTTTCACATTTCACATGTTTATTTCTTGTGACAAAATTAAAAGTTTCTTTATGTACCACCAAATTTGACTTTTTGATCTTTATCTTGGAGTTTGACCTACTTTTACACAAAAATTCTTAACTTTTACTTTAGCCACAACTTTTGAACGGTAAGGACCAGGACTTTCATGTTTCCAAAATGTATTTTTATGGCAAGGCCTTTCATTGGATACCAACAAATTTGACCTTTTGACCATGACCAGAGAGATTTTTGTACTTATGAGATAACTTTAACTTTGACAGTTATCTTTGAACGGTAAGAGCTGTGCTTTCATCTTTCAAATATGTAACCCTTGTGAGAAGTCCTGTCATTAGATACCAAGAACTTTGACCCTTTGAACTTGACCCTGGACTTTGACCGACTTTTAAGAACAAACCTTAACAACAACTTTTGAGGGGTTAGGGCTAGGGCTTTAATACTTGACATAGGTTAGGATTTTGACAGGACCTTTCAATGGGTATTAAGAACTTTAATCTTTTGACCTGGACCTTGGAGTTTGATCTACTTTCTAAAGACTATGACCTTTGCCATGACTTTTAAACAGTAGATAATAGTATTTTCATTTTTCACAAGAATCATGTATTCTTTGTGGGGATAGATTTTATTTGATAGTTTTGACCTTGACCTTGGAGATATCTGTGCTTTTGTTAAAAACATTAACATTGGCCTTAACTTTTGTACAGTTAGGGCTACGGCTTTCATACTTGAAATTATGATCCATGTGACAGGACCTTTCATTGGATATCAAAGCTCACCTTGACCTTGGAGTGTGACATACTTTAATAGCTACCCTTTAAAAACTTTAACCTTGGAGATAACTTTTAACGGTAAGAACTAGGGCTTTTATATTTCGTATATTTCAATACTTATTTCTGGCCATAACTTTTAAACCGGTGGTGTTAGGGCTTTAATTTCACAATCATGTTTCTTGTAGAAGACCATTCTTAGGGTATAATATCTTTAATTTGCATTTCAGAAAAGTTCAATATTCGTTTTGTTGCCATAGTGGTTAATTGGTATTTCACAAACACATTTTGTGCCTTATATTGAGATATGAATGTCATATTTGAAATGTGCATTACATGTACCTGTGACAGAATTGACCTTATTAAAAGAAATCAACCCTGACCTGGGAGTTTGAACCGCTAATACCAAAGTAGCTTTTGAACAGCGATACGTATACTCTATGTGTCTAGACCTTTCTTTGACAACTAGCAATTTTGAATTTAGACAGGCATTCTGACTATTTCATACGAGATTGGTCAACGCGCTAACTTCATTGACAGCTCCATTACTATCGATTGTTGTGTGCACTTTTGAAATCTGGGTTTCTCTATCGGTGTTCGCTCTGTATCTACTGTTTGTTCGGTCGGTGTTAGTCTTAAATGACCCAAAGTCTACACAAAAACCGAAATCAATGTTCGCTTGTATTTCTGTTAGGTTAGGTTTGTTTGGTACTGTAGGTTTGCAGAAAAAAACACCGTTTCAGATCTGTTTCCAAAAAAGATGGTCACCTGGTCTCCTTGTAATTATTATGCTTTTATTTTGTTAATATCGTTTGCAGTCAGTAAAATTGAAACAGATATACATGTACATGTGAATCAGACTGTTTGTAACATTTCAATTAATGATATTTCATATTATTCTTCAACTAAAAATTATTTATTGCTAAAAAATCAAAGAACTCATGTAACTATAAAAATTATTTTCATATAATGTTCTGGAATGTATTAAAAGCTTTTCAGAAATATTTAGAAGTTTTCGTTCATAAAAATGGACTTCATTTTTAAATTTTATTTGATCAATCAGCAAGCTCAAGGATGCTTCTGTTTTTAGAAATTGAATGAAAAATACCTGCAACTGGTATTACGTATATGTTATTCACAAGGCCTTCATAAGCGCAGCTGTCTCTCAGGATAGAGTGTTCCTCCCCACCATTCCCAGTCGACCAGACATAGATGGATCCTTTTCCAGATCGTCCCTAAATAAGATATTCTAATCTTTTTTTATACATGGCACATGATCACGCCAGATTGTTTTTTTTTGTGATTGCTCTGCTCACAGGAAGTATCAGCGAACTTTTAACGTGATTTCTGTTCGTTATTTTTATTTCTAATGTCCTATGACAATTAATACGAGGGCTGTTCAAAAATTACGCGGACTTTTTGCACAGAAAAAATATTAAAAGACATAATCTACCAAATTTCATACATAATATAAAACAATCTTTACTTATATGGTCTTCAAAATTTCATATCAAAATGTTGTAAATTGGTATCAATTTGAGTGATTTTTCAGGACATATCATGAAGTCACGGAGCAGCAAAATCTTCGACGTAACAGCATTATAAAAAAATATGTGCTTGATCTTTCATTTTCTCAACATTTTCCCAATAGTTCCTGAACAGTTTGAGATACCTTATCTACTCAACATCCAAACACCATTTCTTGTCACGCCTAAAATCTATTAAGCAATGTAATGATTATTCTTTTTTTGTTTTAAAACCAAAAACTGCAGGTAATTATGAGATATAGTGTGACATTGTTCACTCTCAATCACGTTCTTTACAGTCCGGATAAAGTTTCCGTTGATGATCTTCTTCTGATCTCCCGTATAGCCTTTCCACTTAGGTCTAACGGTCTAAAAATTTCAATTTGCTTTTTGTGGGACGAATGCTCCAACATATGCTACTACAGATTTTACTATGCATATTTTGGATCTATTTTAGCGATATCTCAAGCATAGCACATAATTTAACAAAAGAGTGGTGCGCCGTCAATTCAGGAGACGTCATTTTTACAGTCGTTTGTTCGGGGATCACATCAGGGAAAAATCACTACATTTCTGTTAGTACTTCAAATATCATGTCAAAAATCTAAATACATAATAATAGGACAATGTAAAGATACGTTTGAGAAAATTATCTAAAAATATTGCGAATTATAGAAAATTAACGAGTTAAATTTTGGATTCCGTATGCTTTTGCTTCCATTTTTTGTCTTGCCCCGTTTCTCTCCATTAGCGATATCAACATAGCGATAATTTTAGTAGAAGTTTTCTTAAATACAGAAATTTTACCAAAATTTATTGAAATCTTTAAGATTCACATTTCTGTGAAATTTCATAACTATATGACGTCTTTAAGAGTAAATATTAGCATAGTCCGCGTAATTTTTGAACGGCCCTCGTAGTTTTTTCTTTTTCAAAAAAATAATTTATCTTCCTCACGTGTAAACTTTAATTTCATATGAAATAAAATCTGTTTGCGATAACCACTCATTACAGCGGATATTATTTTGTTGTTCCCATTCTATAGCGCTAGCTGACTTGTTGGCAGGACATTTATCGTATTGAATTATCCGGGGGTTGTTACTAAAATGTTTGGCAAACACTTGCCAAAAATTATTGTTTAGAAATGCTTTGTATTTATCTGTGTTTAAATTTCTATCTATTTGTGCAAGTAGTCCCATTCCTGGATAGCAGATACAGCTTAGCGGGTTTGTTAAGGCATAACATGAATCAGATCGACAGACTTAACACTTTTTTATAACTATGTAACACCAATAATTCGGAAAAGTCAGGGATAAAACTTTAGCTACAATTATGCATTCTTTAGACTTCAATGGGACTTATACTACAGGAAGTATGTCACGACGTCACCACGTGACGTCTATAACTATAAAATATACCTTAATGAAAACTTGAAAAGTTCAACACTAGCTACCTCGGGATAATTAATTTCAATCTGTTATTATAATTACGTAAAAACATCTCTGTATCACGAAAAAGTGCTGCTAGAATCTACTCTCCTATCACAGAAATTCAACACATTCGGACGGAACCTTCCAAAATTTTTACATTTTGTTCATAACATCGGAAAAAATGCATCAATTCCCGTTAACCATACGATTCTAGCAGCACATTCCAAAAACAATAGAATAAGAACTTTAAATAGAAACTTAAAATTAAGTTTCAAAGTATGCAGCGTAGTTTTGAACTTTTGCATCTTTTTTGTTACGAATGACAGAGGAAAGGCTGATCGGCAAGTAAACACCCTGCCTGCTTTAATTTTGCAAAGAAATTGTAGAATTATATAAGCATACCTTATTCGTAAGCTTTATTCCAATATGAATCACATATGATATTCATTTTAAATGCTTTTAATCTCCAATTTCAAGCGTTTGTTTACCTTTCACTTTCACTCTGCTAATGCATGATCAACAGTTATGACGTCATGGGTTTGGTATTTAACCCCTGTGATAACTACAAGGACCCAGACACCACAAAATTCCATTAATATTATGCCTTTTCATATTTTGATTCATTTTTACAACCTCAAATCAATCTTAGATATCGATTTTAAGAAATTCTTATCTCTAAACTTCACGTCATATAGCTTACTTTGACGTCATATCATATAGGCAAGTAGAATATTTGGTTGTAAACTTAATATACCTGCGAGAACTCAAAACGTCACACATAGGCGGACTCCGCCATTACGGATTGAGCGTAATCCAAGGCACTCTGGTCTCCATTTTTTATGTCCCTTTCTCCAGACATAAACTTCAGGGTGTATTCCTAACATGAATTGGGTTTTATCAGAAAATATTACTTTTTTCAGAGTTTGATTCTGTTTATGGACCCAACATCATTCAACAAACTTGACTATGTTCACTTTCCAGATGAAAAGAGTCTATGCAGCTTTCCAATGATTATACTTTACAAATAATGCAATATACGCTGAACAGATCGTTTGAACAGTGAATTTAGTATAGATCTTTTAAATTTTGATGTTATATGACACAAACTTTTCCTACGATCTTTCATAACCAACCTTTTCAAGACGCCATCTGACTGATCAGTCATATGCTTTTGTCGTCTGGCCGCTTCGAGAATTATTTTTGACACTTTGCCGTACAAAAACTTGGAGATTGTGAAGCGGTCGTAACCTCGTAATTTTGGGTATTTCAGATTTATTTCTTCCTCCGTCATTAAGACGCACGATCTGTTGTTTAAAGCTGAAAACATTTCACGACGATCTGCAGCCATAAATGACCTGCATAACATCTATTTTCTTATATCCAAAAATAATTATAGAACGATGTTAGATGTTATAGAGAAAGGGATTAAGTTAGATACTTTTTTTCTTCAAACATGCATAAACGTGAAACACTTATGGCACCAAACTGTACATTAAGAACTAAAGGAAGTAAAATATTCATTTATCTTATGCAAAACCTTTTAACCATTTAATTTCTATAAATTACTTGATTCTGATTGGTTTAAAAAGTCTTTTGATATCTGCATCAATGAAATCTAGATTTCGCTTAAGCTTGCACTAAGCAGCCGGACTACTTTGGCAGAATCTATATGTTTATTTCCCGCTATCATGTTACAACTTGAAGGAATAATTAAAAACTTTTACTTTAATAGATATTTTCCTGAATTTCGAAACCTGTCCGTTAGGTCCCTGACTTATTTTCTACTTTCGTTTCGTTTTGAATTATCCCTCTTTGCTAAACAAATCAAATCTTCTGCATAACAACAATACAGTTTTGGGAAAGAAGGAAAGAAATCGACATACTTTTGTTATATACTTGGCTTTGAGATATCTGGTATGAACAACAGAATTCTGAAATAAACGTTTTTATGCTTACAAATAGAGGAAGACCTTTAATCTGTTAAATCTTGGGAAACGAATGATCAAGCAAAACGACACAGCATCATGAGGACAGATTCTTTTAATATTAAAAAGTCGGCAGCAAACTTTTTCAGGTTTTACAGCATTGGCAGTTTGTGATACGTATTTATATGTTCGGTTGAAATTCAGATGAAAAGATGTGCAAATGAAATCAAAAATGTCTGTTCCCAAACATTAGAATTGTTAGGATATTTGAGTAGCTTCCCTTTACATTTACGAACTACGATTTACTTACCGGGGAAAATATACCGATCGGGATAACAGGTAAGTTTTTTGTGTTAAAGAACTGTATATTATTTCAAGAATGTTGGTAATGCCGCGACAATATTTGAGAACTTTTTCTTCGTTTTTATGAGCCAATTTGAATTTCAGCAACGTTAACGTTGTTGTGTTGCATTCGTGCGCACTGTTTTTGATGCGTAAATTTAATAGAAAGGTGAAAGTTTTATTCTATTAATTCAAAATCATAATGGGATGCATTCACGTCATTAACCGTCGGGTGATAAAGTAATAAACATGGGAAAAAGAATATCTCCCATAATTTGCAGTAAGGTTGGGCTAAGGTCAAGGTCAACAGGTGGTGCAGGTGTGTTTTTTTTGGGAGAGAGAAGAACTGTAAAATACGGTGTTTTAAAGTACTGATAGTTTATATTTGTGAACGAACTTTGAAAGTTTTCAGTGTCGGAAGTAAATGCCGAATTCCAGACAGAAGAAGAAGCGGGGTCGGAATAAGAGTTATCAAGAACTTTCTGAAGGTAACATTAACAAAAGACAGCGTGCAGAAAAAATGGCGGACCAGTCAAGCGAGGCAAGTGAGTCTACAAGTAATAGGTTAGACGTTAGAGATGAATCGGTCCATTCGGGTGCATATGGTTTTGGACCACAGATGTTATACACATACCCTAACCCCGGAATTAAATACCCTATATCCCCAATTGGTTATAACGTACAATTACCTGGTATGCCTATATTGAACAGTTCACCCATGAATAGCGCTATAAATAGAAATAACAACGCAAACAAATCGCAGGAGGGGGTCCTCGAGGGGATTTTTGAAAAGCTGAAATTGGTGGACGAAAAATTAGAGACACTAAACGAAATTAAAGCCCACATTTCAAATTTCGAAAACAAATTAACAATGTTAGATAGAGAAGTGAACACTATTAAAGGGACTGTAGCGGTTCTAGAACAAAGTGTAAAAGTGATGTCGCAGCAAATAGAGGAGCGAGGAATAGATGAGAACACTACAAAGGTACATACAGAATTAAAGCAAATTGAG